ACACTTCATCTCTGGGAACACCTGCCCATCTCTCATTTTTACTTCCCCGGTCTTAGAAATATACACTTTAATATATTTTTTAAAAATTTCTAAAATAACCATGTACTTTTTTTTTTTTTTTTAAATCAGAAACATACAAATTGGGGCCATTTTCCTAACCTCATTCAGAATTTTTTTATTTTAAATAGAGCTTGGGGGAGAAGTGATTAGGGAGGGCCAGACTTCCAGGCAGGTGCTGAGGGCGCATCTGAGTGCTGGACAGGAGGGACGGGAAAGAGCTCTGCCCACTGTCCATTGACTCTTGGCAGAGGGCACCGACCCCCTGCCCCCTGCCCAGCCCCTCAAATCACACCCAACACTCGGACACATTCTAACGCTGCTTCCACCACAAAACCCTTCCAGTCCTGCTCCCCTCTTTTGAACCCTGGAACAAGAACGCTTATGTCCTAGTTTGGGTATTCAGTGTTATCTTTTCCCCACTGCCCCCCGTGAGGCTCCCCGTGGCCCGTGTGTCACTTCTCAGGGTGTGGGGCACACAGTCTCCAGCTAGGAATCCTCCGCCGAGCTGACTGGACCTGGCCAGGTCTTCTCTGACGTAAGTCCCAGTCTTTGTCCCGTTTTAAACATCACAGTCCCTGTTTGATCCCATAGACAGATCCCAAAAGGATTAAAACAAGTTTGAACGGTGTCCCTACAGCTCCCTGCAGCTTTGTTCTCTGCATATCACTTTTCTGAGCAGTAACATTTAAGAAGGGTGGACCCTTTCTCTTTATGGAAAATGGCCCCCCGTGAAGGTTCTCATGATCTAAGCAAGGAGAAAGTGAAGGTTCTTAGCCAAAAGTTTTATAAAGATATGAAACAGTACAAGAGGCAACTGTGAATGCAGCGATGCCTAAAGGTCTTGCGATGTAAAGGTCAAGGGTCCATCACACAGCCCAGCCTCAGCACTTCTGACATCTGGGGCCAGATGAGGTAGGGCCGCCCTGTGGACTGTAGGATGTTAGCAGCATCCCCAGCCTCTACTGACTAGGGTCCAGTACCCCCCAACCTTGCACCTGTGTTGTGACTGTGACAAATGTCTCCGGACACTGCCAAATGTCCTGGGGTGGGGTGTGTGTGTGTGTTTGTGTGTGTGTGTGGTGGGGGGGGCAAGACTGCCACCAACTGAGAACCACTGGGGATAAACAATGAAATAAACACACTCTCAATGGACACTTTAGGTAAGTCTCAGTGCAAAAGATCCTTCAAGAACTCGACGGAGAAGCTAACTGGGGACGGGCAGTTGGGAGCAGAAATGAATAATCGCATTTGTCTTATGCCGTCGCTCTTTTTTAGTTTCAAAGTAAGAACTCAGGGCCTAGTGGGGCTCTGGGAACCCTGCAAGGTAATGTGAGACTTCTTCACCTCCCTGGTGAGAGTTAAAGCCGTTTGACCTTCAACAATGGTGCTGGTACGGACCGATTACGAGGACTATGGAGCAGGAGGCGAGTCAGAGCTGAGCCACAGCAGATCAAAGGCAGCTGTCGGGGCGGGAGGAGGGGGAGGAAGGAGACGGATGGTCTCTCCTGCCACTTGTGTGGGGACTACCTCCTGGAAGGTATGGCCCAGAGCAGAAGAATCAAGCCCTCTGTAGGCTGAAGTGCTTCCTCCCTTTCTCCCCCACTCCCTGGGATGGCGGACCTGCGCCCCGTGCTTAGGGAGCTCAGTGCAGCGTTCCTGCTGCCTTTCCTCCCGCCCAGCGGGCTCACCCACAGATGGGCGAGAGGCGGGCGGCACGGGCTGTTTGCGTCCGCTTCCCCAGTGACAGTTGTCGAAGGAAACAGAAGGCAGCAGAGATGCGGAAGCAATGACTAGGATCTAAGACTGTGAAATGAGTGACCTTTCCTTTGAAAGCAAAGGCAACGATCTTTGACAAGACTGGGCTGGTGGGGCCCTCGGGTCCCATAATCCCTGCAGCCCTGAGCCACTCCTGGTCCCCGTACACAGGGAACCCAGACATGCCTGTTCTGGGATCACTTCCAGGGGGACGTGCGGGCCTGAACCATGCTATGAGCCCAGTGCTACCACTGAGAGGGCCTGTCGCCAGAGTCCCATGAGGCTGGCCTGCCCATTACACACAATTTACACAGAATAATGCAAGCTAAGGCAAACATCCCGGACGCCCCTGAAGAGGAAAAGAGCGGACAAGAGGGCAACACTGAGGCAGGAGAGGGGCTTTGCATTGGGAATAACCCCCGTTATGGGCTGATGCACCTCCATGAACCAAGTAAGTGCTCAGTGTCTCGGTTTCCCAGAATCTGGAGAGCAGGTCCGGCTGCACTGCACGGAGCCGGGGACTCAGAGCAGTGTCTGTAGTGAAGTGAGTTCTACCGCTTTCCTGGGCTCAGCAGAGGGTGAACCTATGCCCTTCTCCTGGTCTCACGAGGGATCGAGAACCACTCTCCCTAGGGAAACCTCAGGAAGAAGGCACGGTCTCGCCTCAAAGCCTGACCGCTAACTCTCGGCTAATGCTGCCTCACCACCCAACCTCTCTACATCTCTCTCCACGGGTAGGGACAGGATAAGAGAACGCAAGCAGTTGCTTATGGCAAATGTCCAGAGTATGCCCTTAAACACAGACCTCAAACGAAACCAAACACATAGGAAAGTTGGGGGTGGGGAGCAGAACCCACTGAGACTTTTAGGCCTCACTGCCTAATTTCCTGTGGGTACATGTGTGAAATGATTATGCGAATAATTGGAGACCCCAGAAAACTGTGCATGTCAAAGTTTTTTCCTTTCTAAAACCCAGTTACAGAAATAAATTCATCTTCTCATCTCTAAACCAATACATGCTCTGAGCAGCAGCAGGGAGGGCAGCAACTTGTACGGACGGTGGGGACATTTCACTGCTGATACCGAAAGGAGGCTGTGAGCTGTTAGACAATTCCTCGGATGAGAGAAACACAATTAGATTCAGTCCAAAGTTTGAGAAACACTTTCCCTTGCTTAATTATGGAGAGGAAAGGAGTCTCCTTCGGTGCTACACACACAAGACACAGACCCGGCTGGAAGACCGTGATGTCAGAAAGGCTTTCTGCCAGCTGTTTTCTGAGATGCTCTCTTATCGATCGCGCCACAGCTCCAGAGTCTGTGAGGTCAGCAGAGACAAAGCAGGGATTCCCAGACTAGGAACTAAGTGCATAGCTGGGCAGCTGCTTAAGGTTAGGTAAATTCTAGAAAGAGGGCTTTTGTTACTTCAGGCAGTGCTGCTAAGTATCCCTGGGATACTTAGTAGCACCATGAGTCAATAACTTGATTATTCTAATCCTCCAGCTAGGTATCTGGCATACCTAGCTGTGATGTAACCAAGACCAATCTTTCATTACACAAAGAAGATATACTGAGCACACCTGTGGGAGGTGGGGTGTGTGTCGGGGGGGAGACACAGACCCAACACAGTAAGAAATCAATCCTTCTAATTGTTCTAATTACAGACTCCAGCAAACTGCACTTGGAAGTCTCTGCAAGCTTTCTCTGCCTCTTACGCCATCCAAGACCATAAAAGTTGCACAACTGACAAATCAGCTGGCAACCAAAGTGCTTTCAAACTGCTGAGATGGGCAAACCCAGAGTCAGCAGCTGTCAATCACCATCCCTGAGCAGCAGCGCAGTTTACAAGTGCTGGTGGCCCCGACATCAAGATCACAAGGAATCGGCAGGTCAGCTTTGCTTCCTTGACCACACACTCTGACCAGCATCCAACACGTGAACAAACTCTCATCACATGCTCTGAGCCAGGACAGCAACAACATGGCTGTAGCCGAACGGCCTTCCCCTTCCTGGCTTTCACCAGGGTCTCAAAGCAGCTGTTCTCTGTAGTACGGTCCAGGAAGCACGGTGCTTCTCTAGTATCCCGTGGCAACGACGTGGGTAAAACAGGTTCTAAAAGTAAAACTCACGTAGGGAGAATAGAGCTCCCCAGTCTCTGTGATTTCACCGGCCATTTCCAAAAGTGAAGAAGGGTCGCTGGGCAGCTGGGATTCCTCAGGTTCCTTCCCTGCCGGGGCGGCGGCTGCTGCGGCTCCCTAGGGGGAGAGAGAGCAGACTTCCAACTTTCTGACAGGTGTCGCTGACGTGGGGGGCCAGTTCTGGAGAGCAGCCTCCCACCCCCCGCGCGCTACTTTTATTACAGACATGGCCTCAATGCCTGCCATGAGACAGCCCTGGAAGACAGACCTGGGTGGTTTCTTCTAACTTTTCCCTTGCTGTGCGGTGCATGAAGGAATTCAATGCCCCTCAGACTCCAAGTGACAGAAGGAGACCCGCAAGACACTAAGTCGCCCTCGCCACGAGCGTCCCCTCTGTACACTCTGTGGGGGCGTCCACATTCCACGCCAGGAACGGCGAGCTCACTACCACACACTGCAGTCCAACTAACTGTCTCCTCCGCCTAGGGCAACAAACTTGTTTGCTTAGGGCTAGGGCTTGCCCAAGTCGCTCCCCAACCCAACCCCTTGCTTCTAAACCTCTCCTTTTTAACGGGGCCTCCATTCCCCACCCCCGAACCTGTTTTCTGCCCTGCCTTCGAGCTCCCCAGCCTCAAGCCTCCCTCTCTTCTCAAGGGCCCCGCTCTGAGCCTTTCCCCAACTTCTTCCTCCCTCCTGGAGCAGCCCCGAACCTGGCGCCGTCCAAGCCCATCCCACCCTCCCGTCCAGCCGGACACCTGCACCCCGGCTCGCTCCGGGCCGCCGCGGCCGCCGCCACCAGCCCCTCCACCGCCGCCGGCTCCAGCTGTCCCGCACCAGCGCCTACAGCGCGCATGCGCCCGCGGCCGGAGTCCAGCTTGCCCGTGCGCGCCCTGGGCGGGACGGAGCGCGCTGATTGGGCGCCTCGCGGAGGCGGGACCGGGATTGGGCCGGGGCGGCTGCCGTCTGCGTGGCGGAAACGGGGGAGGGGCACTCCCAGGCGCGTGCGGGAAGGGGGCCGCGGGTCGGAGGGCTACCGGGGCAGGTCAGAGGGGGTGGTTCGCCGGCTCGGCTGGGGACTACTTCGTCGGCGGGGCGTGGCTGTGAGCTGAACCGCTCCGGGACCCCGGCGGTTGGGGTGATCGAGGAGAGCAGCCTACTTGTCCACACAAAAGGGAGGGGACTGAGAACTTAAGCCTGCCTCACCCCGGAGCGGCCGGGTTAGACCTGGCTTGGTGGGTGGGGAGGAGAGAGGGCCCGAGTCCGGCGCCTGGGCTGGTTGCGGGGAAGAGGGGCAGGAAATAGGCTTGAAGCGGGACGGAAGGTTGATCCTGGGGTGGAGCCTCCGGACAGGGGCAGGTGATGGGAGCTTTGGGGTTAAGTCTTGGCGCTTGGGTTTGAGGTTTCGTAGTTCAGCGAGTTGGGATGGAAGGGGGCACGCAGAAATGGCAGCTCAGACTTAGTCCCTTGAGGTGCGACGCAAGGATTTTGTAATTTTCTTTAACCCGCCGTCTTCCCCTTCTCGCAAGGGGTCTAGAGTCCGTGTTCTCTGCAATGTTTGGAAAAAAAGAAGGACCAGGGTTCTTCTGACAACTTAGCTCCGGGAGGCATCTAGAGAAGTAAAGGCCCGGGGCTCCCAACCCTAAGGGGAGGAAACACAGGGTCCTGAAGTGTTTGTCCTCCCCTCCTGCAGGTCGGTATTATGAGGTTAAATGAGAACACCTTGCTGCTGGGGAAGAAGGTGGTGCTAGTACCTTACACCGCAGAGCACGTGCCTAGGTAACAGTCCACCTAACATGGGATACAAACTCCTGTCCCAGGATGTAGCAAGGAGGGTCAGCCTTCCTCATCCCAAATCCCAGAGGCTGTTTGCTCTGGGAAGCGGAAACATTGTTGCGAGAAGTCATTACAGAAAGAAGCCGGCACTGAAGCAGAGGTTGAGGACTTCAGCAACCCCTCCCCCAGCATTTCCCTTCCATCCTTTCAGCTTCCGTTTTGGACTTTCTTCAGGGAATGATTTTATGTAAACTAAGTGGGTGTAAGAAAAGAAACTGCATAATTGTAAATTAGTGACATTTCTCTGTTACCAGTGAATATGCTTAGTTCTTTTTTTTTTTTTTTAAGATTTTATTTATTTATTTGACAGAGAGGTCACAAGTAGGCGGAGAGGCAGGCAGAGAGAGATAGAAGAGGAAGCAGGCTCCCCGCTGAGCAGAGAGCCTGATGTGGGGCTCCATTCTAGGACCCTGGGATCATGACCGGAGCCGAAGGCAGAGGCTTTAACCCACTGAGCCACCCAGGCGCCCCTCTTTTTTTTTTTTTTTTTTTTTAAAGACTTATTTATTTTAGAGAGAGTGGGATTGGGGGAGGGGGGGAGAGGGAGAAAGAATCCTGAAGTAACCTCCTCATGGAGCAGGGAGCCAGATGCAGGGCTCGACCCCAGGGCCATGACCTGAGCCGAAGGCAGACGCTTAACGACTGAGCCACCCAGGGGCCCTGGTATGCTCCGTTCTTGAAGCCATGACTGTATCTTGTCATAAAACTGAGCTGATGGGTTGTTCTGACGTCTGCTGTTCTGAAAGGCCAGAGCGGAGTCTCAGGGTGGGACTCCTGCCAGGGCAGCTGGCAAACGTCTGGTAGCTTGGAATGGTGGTGATGTAGGGGTGTACTCTCTCCTTGTAGTTTTTCTTTTTTAAAAGATTTATTTGAGAGAGCAAGCATGTGCACGCAAGTGGGGGGTGGAGGGGGAACGGAGGGAAAGGAAGGAGTAGGCTCTTTGCTGAGCAGGGAGCCCAGTCAGGGCTCGATTGGGCTCTATTTCAGGACCCAGAATCATGACCTGAGCTGAAGGCAGACACTTAACTGAGCCACCCAGGCACCCCTGTAGTTTTTCTTTTTCGGGGTTCCAATATGGCCTTTGTGGAGGCATGTCCAGCTGTCTTTACAGCTTGCCATAGACTTTCGCTCAGGAATTTGAGGAATGTTTGACTTAAGACGACTCCTCCCGCACTGACCCCTGAGACAGGATGGGAAGCTGGAGAGACAGAATGGACCCCTCCTGCTGCTGTTCTCTTGTAAGACTAGCCTGCTTCTAGGACCTTTTTTTTTTTTTTTTTTTTCTTTTGAGAGAGACAGCGAGAGAGGGAACACAAGCGGGGGGAGTGGGAGAGGGAGAAGCAGGCTTCCCACTGAGCAGGGAGCCTAATGCGGAGCTCAATGCCAGGACCCCTGGGATCAGGACCTGAGCTGAAGGCAGACGCTTAACGACTGAGCAACCCAGGTGCCCCTGCTTCTAGGGCTTGTGCTTCTGGCCCTTTGCCTTGGCTTTTATAACCCTTTCCTTGTTTTCGGTTTTTGTTTTGGAGGGAGCGTGCACGAGTGCCAAGTTGCGAGCAGTGGGAGGGGCAGAGGCAGAGAGAGAATCCCAAGCAGGCTCCACGCCCAGCTCTGGGCTGATGCAGGGCTCCATCTCACAACCCAGAGATTGTGACCTGAGCTGAAATCAAGAGTCGGGCACTTAACCGACTGAGCCACCCGCACGCCCCTCCTTGGATCTTTCATGAGCCCCGTGTTAGCTCCTTCCTACCATCCACTTCATCTCAGAAAATGTCAGACCCTACTCCTGAGTCAGTCCTGCATGCCCAAGGCCGTCCCCCTGTCCCTGCAGGTACCACGAGTGGATGAGATCGGAGGAGCTGCGGCGTCTGACCGCCTCGGAGCCCCTGACTCTGGAGCAGGAACATTCCATGCAGCGGAGCTGGCGGGAAGATGCGGACAGTGAGGAGCGCGGGCCCTGGGCCGGGCTGGCAGCAGGAGGGCTGGCTCCAGAGGCGAGGCGGTCTCCGGCTTCCCTCCCTTTCTCATTCCAGCTGTAGCCTTCTGGGCCCCAGAAGCTTTGTGAAAAAAACCCTTCCTGAAAAGTCTGGAAGGTGCCAGAAACCATCCTACTCTGATGCCCGTGGAAGCCAGGCCCCATGACTGAGGCTTCTGTCTTTTTGCCCCCACTCACAGCATCAGACTTGGAATGATTTTGGAGAAAGTAGAGCGTGTAGGGCTCTGGCTGTACCTGGAGGCCCTGCTCCTCACGGGTCTTGCTCAAACACAGTTGTGGTTCCTGCTCTCTGAGAACACAGCTGCTGTTGGGGCTCCATTCTTTCCCGCATAAGACAAATTTAGGGCTTTGTCATTAGCTAAGGGAAGCTTGGCTCATTTTCCTCCTGGCCCACTGTGTTCTCCAGTTCTGTGGTTTGGGTAGGAAGACTGTGGTCCCATCGCCTCCTCGGGGAGGGTAGGTGATAACTGTGTCGCCTCCCTCCTCAGAGTGTACGTTCATCGTGCTGGATGCAGAGAAGTGGCAGGCCCGGCCGAGCACCACTGAAGAGAGCTGCATGGCGGGAGATGTAAACCTCTTTCTCACAGATCTGGGGGACCCCTCCCTGGGGGAGATTGAGGTCATGATTGCAGGTTGGTTCTGCCTGGCCCTGCCTTCCCTCCCTCTGGCCCGTGGAGCTGCTGCACCCTGAGCCGGCCAGGGCTGCGTAGGGTGCTCAGCGCAGTGATCCCTCCTGGTCGGCTGCTTTATTTCTGTCTTCTGCTTAGGGGTGAATTTAACCTTTGGTTTGTGGAGCGGGGAGGGGGGTGGTCTTCAGACTTCATTCTGCCCTGTCCCTGCTGGGGGGCTGAGTGCTGAGGACCCTCCCAAGATCTTCCCACGCTGCGGGAGGAGCCCCTCTAGTCTCTGTCTTCCTTGGTCCACAGCCTTCCCCTAAGACTGTCCTGATGAGGCAGGACACTGTGGTTAAAGGGTCAGCTTTGGGGTCGAGTTGCTGGGAGCCCTTGTGTGAGTCATTTTGACTTCTATTTCCCTGTCTGCTCAACGGCAGTAATAGCACCAGCCGGGCCAAGTTGAGGATGAACCAAGGTTTGGGCTGCCTCACGGCTATGTCTGCCGTGCACGCCGCCAGTGACAGCCGTTGTTTCTCCTAGAGCCCAGCTGCAGGCGCAGAGGCTTTGGCACCGAGGCCGTGATCATGATGATGTCTTATGGTAAGGAAGCCTCAGAGACAGCGAGGAAGAGGCCAGGCCCCAGGTGGGGGGGTGGGGCATGTTGGGAGGGGCCTTCCTTAGGCCTGAGGGTGGGGACCAGGGGACAGGTGCCTGCACTGCAAAGTGGGAGGGAAGGGCAGGGGCTGTGAGGGGCTTGCTTCATTCTGTGGCTCGTCCCTCTCCCCCATCTTCTCTGGGAGGAGTGACCAAACTAGGTCTGACCAAATTTGAGGCTAAAATTGGGCAAGGAAATGAACCGAGTATCCGGATGTTCCAGAAGCTTCACTTTGAGCAGGTAAGGATGTTGCTGGTGGGAGGGTGAGGCGTGAGGCCTGAGGCAGGTGGTGGGGCCAGGTGGTGCTGGAGCTTGTGGCTCTAGCTCCCCCCCCCCAATCCCCGTTCTCTCTGGCTCACACAGGTGGCTGTGAGCAGCGTCTTCCAAGAGGTGACGCTCAGGCTGACGATGAACGAGCGTGAGCGGCAGTGGCTTCTGGAGCAGACCAGCCACGTGGAAGAGAGGTGCTATGGCGATGGGTCGTTGGAGTCCCAGTGACAGCTGGCCTTGTCAGCAGCTGCCCTGTGTGAATGGGGATGCTGGGACCACACAGAACATCAGAGCTCCGTAACAGAAGGTGAACTGTTGGTGGCTTCGGGGCACAGTGCACCTGGCCCCTCTGTAGCCTGCGACGCTCCCTGTGGGGCCCTTTGGACTCTGGGCGACTGGTCTTGGCCTCCCTCAGGCTGGCCGTGTGGATGAGTGACTTCCGAGACAGCCCATCCTCCTGGCCAGCCCTGGACTCGGAACCTGGAGTGGACAGCGTGAATCCCCAGGAGGCAGGGTGGAGGTGGGAGCAGAGAGCGACTGGGGGCCTGGTGAAGGGAAGGCCAGAGGCACCCTGTGGAGGAGGCCCTGGCTGGGAGTAAACCGCACTGCACGGCACCTTGTTGGGCTTTTTCCTCGGGCCCACGTGCAGCGAACCTCCAGAAGGCCCAGCCTGCAGCGTTCTGGCCAGCATGGTGGGGTCAGGGCAGGAGCAGCTCAGTCTGCTTCCGTCCTGCAGCAGCAGGCTGAGCGGGATCCCAGAAGTTTGGAAGGGAACGAGCTAGGCCCTGAACGACAGGTGGCTTAGAAAGCGGGCAAAACCCTTGTCCTCCCTCCTCTTTGGACCTGGGAGTGTTGTGGGCGCAGCTCCCTGTGGTTGGAGCTCCCTCTGCTGGTGAACCCTGGAGCCTCTGCTGAGCTAAGGGCTGCAGGAGAAAGCAGAAGCCGCTCGGTGTACCTTCCCAAAGGGACCTCTGACCTCCGCCCCCCCAGTCTGCTCGTCGGCCTCTGGGAGCAGCTGCGCCTGACAAACCCACAAGGGGGCGCCAGAGACACAGGTTTGGGATGGCAAGGGCTGCCCAGCAACAGGACACGGGACATCCCTCAACTCCCACCTGTCTCGTCATAACCTCTGTGGCCGTTGAGGCCAAACAGGTTTCAAAACGTGGCCATGGAAGAGACCTTTGAGGGTACCCCATAATCTCGAAGGGAGGAAACTTTCAGATGAGTTGCAGTGTGCTTATGGTAGCAGAGCCAGAACTGTGGCTGGGGGCGTCAGCTCCCAGCACCCCCCCCCCCCGGCAGGTGTATTCCAACACTTCTGCGTAGGTGGGAAGCGAGAGTCTGACTCTGCTTGCTGAGAACAGTTTGTAATGTGTCTGGCCGCTCAGTGATAGGAGTTCCATCGCTGCATCAGGGACCCCCAATTTGGGGGGGTCCCCCTCTGCTGCCCCGTGGAGCAGTCTTCAGGCCTTGCTTACCTGGCAGGGGCTTCACCAGGGGTCACAAGCTAGAGTCAAAGTTGGGAGGGAGTGGGCCAGGTCCAAGGCCAGGGTACTATGAAAAGGTTTGGAATGGTTTCTCTTAAGGCTGGTGGGAATCTGAACTTGAGAGAGGCCATGCAGCCAGATGCGCCCCAGCCTTCTCTGAACCCCAGGGGCTCCCTGGGTCCTCTTTGGTTAGCGGTCTCTTGAGCATCAGCTTCCCTTCCAAGAACCTCCAGGCCTGGCAGCCTCAGCCCTCGTGGGCCACCCTGGCAGACGTCCAGGATGTGGCCTCAGGTGCCAGCGGTGGGGAAGACCTGGACCTCTCAAGCACCAGGGTGTTTTGCCCTTGGAAAGCCCCCTCCCCCCCACCTGCCACAGAGCGTGTCCTGGACAGCTGCCCTCTGGTCGTGTCCACAGCCAGATGAGATGGAGGATCTGCCGCCAGCCCCGGCCACTCCTGCACCCCGCTGGCCGCGAGTGGGAAAGACTGAAGCCCCTCTCTGCATTCTCCATGCAGCTCCTTTGGGGCCTTCACCATTTCTGTGCCCCTGAATCAAAGTGCAGGAAGTCCTCGGAGCATGTGAACCTCCCCTCCCCCTTCCTACCCGAAAGTTTGTTGGGGGGGTGGGGGGGGAGGCAGCCTTTGCATCCATTCAGGAGCTGGGCAGGTCCCACTCCCACGGGCAGCAGGCAGGCAGCTACGAGCCCTCGGAATACAGCTGCCCCCCTGGTACTACTCCCCCACCGGAGTTCCAGAAGCCTGGATTACGCCACCCTCAGCCAGAGGGTGAGGGGACACCCCGAGCTCTAAAAGACGACACAGAGGCTGAGGCAGGATGGAAGCCAGCTGAATTTGACGGGGTTTCCTTACACTAGGGTGGCTGGGCAGGGGATAGCGAGACCTGCCCCCATGCTGCCCGGGGCTCCAGGGCAGGAACGAAGTTCAAGGCCGAGGTTGATGCCATGTCCCGGATGCAACAACCTGACAAATCATGTTAATTAAGGAAACCGAAATCCCTCTAAATTCCGGTACTGCACTCAAAAAGTCAAATCAACGAAAAGAAGATGCCCAAACCCCGGCTCTGAGGAAGAGGGACCCCTGTCTGTTCCGCAGTGTCACTGGGGGTCCTCACCAACCCCGGACTTCGTCATCACTTGGGGTCGCAAGGGAATGGGACCTCTCGCCAGGTCCCCCCATCCTTGCTTGGTGTGCGTTCCAGTGATGTCCCTGGGGAGTGGCAAGGGGCTGGAGCACTCCCGGAGGAGGGGCAGGGAAGAGTCTGCTTTCTGGTCGGGGCAGGATGGAAACACATTCACCTTTCCAGAGGTAAGGGAAGAGCACTGTTCTCTAGAAAAATCAGATTCACCGATGGGGGCGGGGGCAGGGAGGGTGCTGGTGCTGATTTAAGTGTTGATTGGAGGAGGAGCAGGGAGTGAGTGAGGAGGAGGGCAAGGGAGCAGGGCTGGGGCCTGGGGGCTGGCCAGGCCCTCCCAGCTTTCCTGGGCACAGTAGGAGGATGCTCAGAGGTTGCCGAAGAGCTCATTTTTCTTGCTCCAGTCCATCTGCGGGGCCCGTTTGCTGCTGCGCTTCTGATGGGCCCTCTCTTTGGCCACAGCCAGGGAGACGCTGAAGTCCAAGATGGGGTCAGAGGAGGAGGAGGTAGACGAGGGGGCCATGGAGTCCTGTTTCCTGGGGCTGTCTTGGGAGTTCAGCTGCGAAGAGGAGGTGGCAGCAGAGGGAGGGAGTCAGTGCCTGGCCAGGCGTCCCGGTCCTCAGCCTCAGCAAGGTGGCTCCCTTGGGGCAGTGCCCAGGGAAGCCAGGTCACAAGGACAGAACGTGGCACAGCATGTGACCTCCCAAGGCAGGCTGGTGTGCCAGGAACGAGCGTGGCCTGGGAATGGGCTTCCTGTAACCCAGTGCCACCCTCTGCCCGCCCAGCCAACAGCCTACCTCCTCACTGGTATCACTGAAGATGGTTCTTGCCAGGGTTGATCTGGGGCTCTCAGAGGCCACCTCTGCCAGAGCTTCACGACTGTTCTCCTGGCACAGAGAGGAGGAGTGTGGGTTGGCAAGGGATGGGGTGGGGAAGTCTTGAACAAGGAAGAGTGTTCCTAGGGAAGACAGGTGTCCTGGTCTGGTAAACTCCACACCAGCCTTTCCCATCGACCCAAAAGCCACACTGCCTTAGTCTGTAGGAGAGTGTAGGGGGTTGGGGGGGCTGGCTGGCCAGCCTTGGGGATTGACATTTCACATTCCTCTAGGGATCAGAGGGCAGGCTGGTTCCACCACCCGAGTGGGAGGGACCACCGTGGGATTAGCTCAACTGCTCACATGCCCCCACCGCCCACCCCCCAGCTCTCCCAAAGTAGCCTTCAGCGTCAACTAGCCTTTTGGGCCAGTGACCGTGGAGGGGCTTTGAGGGGAGTGTGGGGATCCTGGGGGCCTCTGCCTGGCACAGGGAACTGTGTGATAGTCCCTGAATTTCCTGCAGCCCACCTGCTTCCTTGGACTTGACCCCAGGAATTTTGAAACCTTAACCCCAAAGCAGCTAAGAAGGGCTTTGGAGGAATAAGAGGGATGAGAGTTCTAGGCCCACAGATGGGGTGACAGAAGGTTCAGGTGACCCAAGGCCACCCCCCTCCCCCGTAGTAGCCCCTGGGGATGGGAACCCTCTGAGCAGGCCCTGTAGAAAGCTCCAGCTCTGTGGTCTGACTCGGAGTCAGCCTGTCCCAGAGTGAAGGTCTTGGCCAAGGCTTCAGCTTGGTGCTCAGCCTCTGCCTGGGTTCCTCTGCGGCCTCAGCTGGCACCAGGCCCCACCATCTCTTCCCCAGCCTCCACGGCCTTCTCTTCCCTTCTGCCCAGGGAGGAGGGGAGGAGGGGCTTTGTTCTTCCAACCCAGACTGAAGTAGCAGGGCCCAGGCAGCGTGCGTCCAGACACTGAAGCTCTGTTCTTGGGGGGGAAGAATGGCCTCTTCTGTACGGTGGGGAGTTGAAGGCGGGGCTTGTCACCAGGATAGCGGGCTGCGAGGGGCACAGCCAGGCCTCTCCCTCCCGCCTAAGCGCTCCACACGGGCGGAGGGGGGCACCGTGGGCAGCTCCATAGCTCAGGGCTCAGGAGGGGGCCGCAACCTGAGCCCAACGGCCGTCCTTGTCCCAGCCATGCCGCCTTCCATCCTTCTCCTACAGCCCCTGGCTTGTTGAGGGCCAGAGAAGCATCGGGCGGGGGGGGGGGGTCTGCCTTTACCTTCTGAATCTCCCCGTTGGTAAAGGGCTCAGGCAAGGGACCTAGGAGAAGGGAGAAAAAACAAGAAACCAGCAGAGGTGAGTCCAGAAGCTCTGGGGGATGCGGACGGAGCGGCGCCCCGAGAGGAGGAGGGTCGGCTGCCGGTTTGGCCCATGATTAGACCTTGTGCCCTACTTGAGTGTTTTGAGTCCCTTGACTGCAACCCTCCTGCGGTACAGCTGCCGTCCTTGTGACCCGGCACACACAGACCGCGGGGAACAAGCTTCACAAAGCAACACACACCCTTACCACCTTGTAATGCTCTCCTGTATTTTCAATTCAGTTTCGTTTAAAGTCGCACGCTAGTCTTTGCCTACTAGGTTGATCTTGCGAACCACACATGGGTCATGAACAATTTGGAAAAACTGTCCTTAAGGGGGTGGAAATTCCAGGCTGGCTGCCTACGAATCACCTGGAAAGCTTGTCAGAAATGCAGATCCCCAGGCCTGGGCACCAGAGTGAGAAACACACCCCAGACTCCGGGCAGCAGCTGCCTCACCTAAAAGAGAAAATCATCCCCACTCCTGCTTGCCAATGTGTGGGTGACGGGGTGCTCAGGAGAGAACACCAGCCTGGGGTCCCCCCTCGCTGGGCTGAGGCAGGACTGTTCCACCGCTGGGGCTGGTCAGCCTGCGTGGGTTTCTTCGGACTCTTCCTTCACTATCAACGTGCGTCTTTCCTGGGGCCTGGACTTCACCATTTCCTCCCTACTGCTACCCACCCTCTCCCCACAGGGGCTGAGCACGGGATCACTGGGACACGGGGACCCTCACCCACTCCCCACCCCCAGTTGTCTCCTATGGTCAGGAGGCAGCTGCTGGGAGGGCATTCTTCTCTGTGGGGACAG